TTAATCAGTCATGCCTATGTAATGAAACCCCCAAACCCCAAAAGGATAAGGTTCCGAGAGCTTCCTGGTTGGCAAACTGTGGAGGTGCTGGGTGGGTGATGCACCCAAAGAGGGTGTGGAAACTCTGTGCCCCTTTTCGCATGCCTTGCCCAATGCATCTCCTCCAACTGGCTGCTCTTGAGTTTGTTCCTTTTCTAATAAATCGATAATTAGTAGTTAAAATGTTTCTGAGTTCTGTAAGCCACTCTAGCGAATTAATTTAACCCAAGTGTGTGGGGAGGGGCTGTGGGAACCTCCAAATTACAGGTAGTTGGTCAAAAGCACAAGTGAGATCTGAAGGGTGTAACCGGTGTGATCGGATGCCATCTCCAGGAGGTAGTGTCTGAATTGAGTTAAATTGTAGGGCACCACGTGGTATCACAGAATTGCTTGATGAGTGCAGTATTGAGAATACAGGAGACACATAGGAATGAGTTTTTCCTTTACACTAGGGGTGTCAAACTCAATCAGAGAAGGGGCCAAAATCTAAAATCCAGCCTAAATCGCGGGCCGAATGGTTTACTGAACAGTCATAAACTGTCATTGTGATGGAAACGCAGCGGAGTGCAGTGATGACAGCGCGGTGCGGGCCACATTGCAAGGCCTGGCGGGACGGATTTGGCCCGCGGGCCTTGTGTTTGACACATGTGCTTTACACCATCACGTAGATGAGAAAACCAATAGAAGAGGAGGAGGTGGCCAAGAAGACTGAGGAGCAGCCACGGAGGGAAGTGGAAAACCGGGAGGGATGCTGCTCAAGAACGAGGGGAAGACATTTCTAGATAGCAAGAGAGGTCATTGGTGTTGGTGATTGCAGAGAGCTGAGGACAGAGACCACTGGCTTTGGTAACAGGGAAGTCACGGGAACCTCCTTGAAAAAAGCAGCTATAGAGGAGTGCTAAGGTCACAGGCCAGATTGGAGTAGTTTGAAGGGTGAATAGATGAGGAATTCAATAGAGTATAGACCTGCCCTGTCCTCTATTGTAGCCACTCGCCATGTGGCTATTGAGAACTTGACTGTGGTGAGTCTGAATTGAGATGAGCTGTAAGTATAAAACACACACCACATTTCCAAAGGGCAGTGTGAAAAAAAGAAGGTAGAATATTTCATTAACTTAGTAAAAATGCTGATTTCATATAGAAATGTAAATATTTGATAGATTGGGTTAAATTCAATATATTAAAAATTGAGCTGAAACTGGTTTGGCTCAGTGGATAGAGCATCGGCCTGCAGACTGAAGGGTCCCGGGTTCAATTCCAGTCAAGGGCATGTACCTTGATTGCGGGCACATCCCCAGTGGGGGCTGTGCAAGAGGCAACTGATTAATGATTCTCTCATTGGTGTTTCTAACTATCCCTCTCTCTTCCTCTCTGTGAAAAATAAATAAAATATATTTAAAAAAATTGAAATCATCATCTACCTTCTAAACCTGCACAGTCTTTTTTTTTTTTTTTAATGTTTGGAAACTACTGCATTTAAAAAATATTTTTGATTTCAGAGAAGGGAGAGGGAGAGATACAAACATCAATGATGAGTATCATTGATTGGCTGCCTCCAGCACACCCCATACTGGGCATCAAGCCCATGTGCCCTCGAACGGAATTAAACCCAGGGCCCTTTCGTCCACAGGCCGATGCTCTATCCACTGAGCCAAACCAGCCAGGGCCTTTGTTGCAGTATTTACCTCACTTGGCATTGTTAAAAAACAAAATTCAATTGAGCTGATCTGAAGACCTAATTGTCATTAGAAAACCATTTATAAATTGGGCAGCACCTCACCTAACAACTAGAAGGGACTAGTTGCATGAATTGGTAGGTTTTACAGGTGCACCTCAGAGGCAGTACAAGTTTGGTTCCAAGATTACCCCAGTAAAGCAAGTATCACAATAAATTGTAAATTTCTTGCTAGTGGAGGTTCTTGCCTTCAATGTGTAAGAAAACAACATTTGGGAAATGGGATAAAGTGAAACAATGGTAAACCAGTATAGGCAGAGAGAGGGTGGGACAAGGAAGTTCAGTGGATTCATTCCGGCAAGGTTACCTGCCCTGAGGGAAAGGCGCGGGGGTTTTAACAGGTAATCCTCACTAGGATTGACCAGCTAATTCCAGACTGATTGGTTTAATATTCCATTTCCCAAGGGCAGGTGTGGCTGGTTTAATTCCTCATAGGCGTGAATGCAGAAGGCAACTGATTGAAGTTTTGAAGTTTCTGTCACATCTCTCCCTCTTTCTTTTTTTTCTCTTTCCCTCTTTCTCTCTAAGATCAATTTTCTAAAAAAAAAAATTTAAAAAAATCAATTTCTGGAAGAGGCTGAAATGCAGGTACAGACATACCTTGGAGATATTGAGGGTGCAGTTCCAGAGCCCTGCAATAAAGTTAGTGTAATCTTTTTTTCTGGAGGGTCTTGCCTTCAATTTATTAAAAAAAAAAGCAACATCTGTAAAGTGCAATAAAGCAAAGCTCACCCTCGCTGCTAGGGCCTAGCCAGTTTCACTCAGTAGATAGAGAATCGGCCTGCTGAGGACTAAAGGGTTCCGGGTTTGATTCCCATCAAGGTCACATACCTTGGTTGCAGGCACCTCCCTGCAGCCTGGGGCTCTCCCAAAAAATAAATGGAAAAACATCCACAGGTGAGGATAACAACAAAAAAGGAAACGGCAATAAAACTAAGCCTGCCAGTATTAAGTGTTGGTGGGGCTTACCTAAGTGACTCCATCTTGGCTGTGTTGTTTCTTTTTCTTTAAAAAAAAAAAAACACTTTTTTTTTTTTTCAGAGAGGATGGGAGAGGGAGATAGAAATATCAATGTGCCCTTGACAGGATCAAACTCGGGACCCTTCAGTCTGCAGGCCAAGATTGTTTATTTGAAGGACTCAGATTTTTTTTTTAAATATATTTTATTGGTTTTTTACAGAGAGGAAGGGAGAGAGATAGAGAGCCAGAAAGTCGATGAGAGAGAAACATCGACCAGCTGCCTCCTGCACCCCCCCCCACTGGGGATGTGCCCGCAACCAACGTACACGGCCCCGACCGGAATCGAAACCGGGACCCTTCAGTCCGCAGACCGACGCTCTACCACTGAGCCAAAACGGTTTTGGCAGGACTCAGATTTAAAGATGGTGAATGATATATGGAAGATTTACATTTTTGTGTAGCTTCCTTCCCTCTGGATCAAGGCTATATATAAGGGGAAGTGTGAGAAGAAAATTTTGAAAGATGTTTACAACATATAATTGATACAATTTGCCGAAACCGGTTTTGCTCAGTGGATAGAGCACATGTGTCAAACACAAGGCCCGCGGGCCAAATCCGTCCCGCCAGGCCTTGCAATGTGGCCCGCACCGCGCTGTCATCACTGCACTCCACTGCGTTCCATCACAATGACAGTTTATGACTGTTCAGTAAACCATTCGGCCCGCGATTTAGGCTGGATTTTAGATTTTGGCCCCTTCTCTGATTGAGTTTGACACCCCTAGGATAGAGCATCGGCCTGCAGACTGAAAGGTCCCAGGTTCGATTCCGGTCAAGGGCATGTACCTTGGTTGCAGGCACATCCCCAGTAGGAGGTGTGCAAGAGGCAGCCGATCAATGTTTCTCTCTCTCTTCCTCTGTAAAAAAATCAATAAAAATATATTTTTAAAAATTGATACAATTTGATGACGTTGGTCTGAGTACTTCAATGTCTGAGTACTTCAGATAAAGACAGTCTAGGTCTGCCTCTCAAGCCTTAGTTCTCACCTCTCCAAGTCTCAGCATTTGTAGCCTCACACCAGGAAATTTCTCTCTTCTGTGCCTTCCTGGCTCCTTGCTGTTCCCTTTATCTGGAAAGGAGCTTTTCTCCTACCTGGCTAAATCCTACTCATCTTTTAAGGATGAGTTTAAGAGTTACCTCTTCTGGGAAACCCGGTTCTCCCAAGTACTCCAAACCTTCTGAAGCTGGGAAGAGGACCTTGTATTTCTACTCCTCTCACCTTACCCATCTCCAAGGGCAGGGACCAGGTCTTATTTTCATCCTGCCTTCAGGGAATGTCTGAATGTCTACTGATTAGCACTGGTTAGAATACAGTCAAATTCAGGAATTAGTGCTTAGACTCCATAAAGCTCTCATTCAGATGTAATGTTCTCAAAATCCTCACTCAAGCATTGCCCTTTAGTTTGCAAAACATTCTGATAAGGCTCTTTATATCCTGAGGCAGAAGTTTAAAAAAAGGGACTGTTTTTAAACCCTGGGGCTAGAGAAGAGCTTCAAGAAATAAGTTATCTTATACCAACGATAGCTTTATAGGGAGTCAGGTGCTATAAAGGTGACCCCGCCCTCGGTGTGCGCCTCTGCAAAATCCCAGGCACATCAAGCTCTTCCTCCAAGACTACAAATCCCAGCATGCCTCGAATACAATGAGTGGCAGCCCGCAGTGCACGCCGGGACCTGTAGTCCGGTTCCAGTTCAGGAAAAGGCCCCGAACGTCCCGTGACGTCAGGAGGGCTCGGGAAAGGGAGTCGGAACCGGTCCAGGTTCAAGTCAAATCTTCCTCTAGAGAGCAGAGCCTGGTTTCTTTGGTGACCCGGTGTCAGGCCCCACCCCACAGTACAGCGGACCTATGGTGTGCGTTGAGTAGCCTCTCGCGTGATTCCTTCACGGTTAAACGGGGGAGGACCAGAAGGCAAGAATAGGCAGCCTTTGGCCCTCGCGGCGCCGACTTGTCAGGGTAGTGGTACACAGGACGCCTCCCTGCACACAGGCAGAGACGCTGCTTCTCCAGCGGCGCTGAAGAGGACGCGGCAGAACTCTTCCCAGACAACCACTCTCCTCCCCTCCGCCCGTCAGCTCGGAGGCGCGGGAGGCGCAAAGGCTGCTGGGAACGCGCATGCGCCCATCCGGGTGGGGAGTACTTTCCAACGTCTGCGGGAGCGAGGCGCGCGGGAGGAGGGGGAGGGAGAGACAGTGTCGCGTGTCTGCAGCGGTGCTTTGCGGCCGGTCGTGCGCGGGCGGGCGCGGGCGGGCGCGGCGGCCGTGGCGCGCGCAGGTGACTGACTGGCCAGCTGGCTGAGGGAGCGTCTGGTCTTCATCGCTGGCAGGTGGCGGAGCCCAGTTGGGCGGCTGCGGAGGCAGCAGCGGGAGCCCGACTCCGGAGGCGCTCCTCCTCTGGCCAAGGCCATGGCCCCGCGGCTGCAGCTGGAGAAGGCCGCCTGGCGCTGGGCGGAGACGGTGCGGCCCGAGGAGGTGTCGCAGGAGCACATCGAGACCGCCTACCGCATCTGGCTGGAGCCGTGCATCCGCGGCGTGTGCAGGTGAGGCCCGTGCACCGGGCTCGCGCCCCTCCATCGCGTCGGACCTTGCAAAAACAGGGCTGGGGGTCGGGCTGGGGGAAGGAAGACGGCGGCCCGTCGCGTGCATCCCGCAGGAGCGGAGAGGAGCTGGCGGGGGGAGGCTTCCTCCTGTCCGCCGGCCGGGCGACCTGGGAAGCGCAGCCTGCCCGGGCTCTGCGCGGCGGTGATGCTGCTGAAAGCCCATCTGCCAGGGTTCTGGGCTCTTCCCTAGAAGATGGCGGGGGAAATGGTTAAAGGCAGGAGCCCAGAGCTCAGCTAACCTTGGTGGGATGTCTTGGCCACGGCTCGGCTTTTTGTTTGTAAAAGGGAACTACTTCGGAGTGAACCTCCCTCGTTACAGCGCATCCTGCGTGAGTGCTGATGCTGAAGCATTGGTTATCTTAGTGTTACTTTTGGGTAGGCTTGCTTTGGAAAAACGTATGGTTACCCTTGTCATCGGTGCTCTTCGTCCTCCTGGTGACCTCCCTTCTTTCGTGAATCTAGTATTTTTTTAGCGTATCCCCCCCCCCTTTTTTTTTTGTCTTTCAGACTCTCTCTACCAAGTATGATGTTTGAGTTGTGCAAGTTTTGTCCTTCCCTTTGCTCAGCCTCTGAACCTTGCCTTTCTTTTTAGATCGAATCCTTGGGCTTTGTGCCCGACTCTTCTGCTTTTCCACCTTTTCACGCGGGAACTATAGTTTTTGTTCCGGAATGTTGTTGCATTGACTTGGCCGAGCCGGGCATGCTCAGTAGCCGCCTTTCAGCGGGCTCTCTGGTTTCTGCGTTAGGTGGCGGGATCCGGAAGGAATGGGAGTCAAGGTCTCCGCTCCGGAGCTCCCAGTCTGGCTGGAGAAGCCAAAGTTAGGAACTTCCATAAGGAACAGGAAGCCGTCCCAGCTCTGGGCGCCGGCCTCACAGGGAGGGCAGGTCTGACTCCAGCAGTGAGTGCTGGGACCACCAGAAGGGCCTGTGTAATAGAATTTATTAAGCTCGGTCGTCCTCTCAACAGAATTAGGCTCCAGAGCAACCAAAAAGTGTAAGCGCTTTCATGTAGTTCTGATTTTCCCGGGAGGAAAGGAGTAGAAATTGGCTGAGATCAGTAGAAGGTGAATGTCAGAGAGAGGATGAGTTTTTAGCTGCAAACTTTACACACCCAAGCAGGGTTTTTGTTTTTGTTTTTTTTTTAAACATGGAGATATAATTCACATAGACGATTCACTTTGAAATGTAGAGTCCAGTGTTTTTTTGCTTATGTATACACAGGGTTATCCAGCCATCATCACAATCTGGTTTTAAGACATTTAGGTTTAGGGCCCCCTGAAAGAAGCCCTGTTAGATTGGCACTCATTCCCCCGTCCCCCCCCCCCCCACCCCATGCCCAAGCTCCCGGCAATTTTCCGCCGCTACTATAAATTTACCTACTTTGGACATTTCGTGTAAATGGAATCATGCAATATTTGGGCTTTGGTGACTGGCTTCTTTAACTTAGTAGTATAATATGTTCAAGGATCATCCATGTTGAAGCATGTATCAGTATTTCTAAAGCATTGTGTAAGAAAACATCATTTGTCATTGTAAGGCACCCAATTCAGCATGTACAACTTTTACAGGGTTGTGCACACATCACGGTTGTCTTGTTCTAGTCCTTGTGTCCCATCACCCTAAAAAGAAACTTCATATTCATTAAGTTCACTTCCCATTTCCCCCCTCCCTACCCCCCAGCAACCACTGTTCTGTCTCTGGATTTCTCTAGAATGGATATTTCATCAAATGGACTTATAAAACATGTGGCCTTGCCGAGGCCGATTTGGCTCAGTGGATAGAGAGTGGGCCTGTGGACTGAAAGGTCCCGGGTTCGATTCCAGCTAGGGGCATGTATCTTGGAGGCAGCTGGTCAATGTTTCTCTCTCATCAATGTTTCTAACACTCTATCCCTCTCCCTTCCTCTCTAAAAAAAAACAAAAAAAACCCCCCAAAAACCAATAAAATAATAATGATAAAAAACATGTGGCCTTTTCGGGGGGGTGGTGTATGGCTTTCACTTTGCATAATGTTTTCAAGAGTCATCCATGTGGTCGTGTGTATCAGTACTTGGTTCCTTTCTCTGGCTGAGTACATTTTATTGTTTAAATTGACCACATTTCCTTTATCCATCAGTTGATGGACTTAAGAAACGCTCTCCCTACCTTGGCTGGAGGGCTCAGTGATTAGAAGGCACGTGCAACTAATCTGTGTCCCCTCCCTTTTACTTCGTAAAAGCAATGGGAAAAATATCCTCAGGTGAGGATTTAAAAAAAATCCCAATCTTTTATTGAGGAATAATTGACAAATAAATTGTATTATATTTAAAGTGTGTAAAGGTGCTGACTTTACATGTCTGTGTGTGTATTTGGTATGAGTTACCAAGATCAAGATAAATAAACCTGATGGACATTTTGATAATTTCCAGTTTTTGGCTATTGCTAAGAACATTTGTTAAGACATCTGTTTTCTGTTCTTCTGGAGATACACTGTACCTAGGAGTGGGCTTGCTGGGTCACGTGGTAATTATGTTTAATTTGTTGAGGAGCCGCTACACTGTTTTCCATGGCTGCTCTGCTATTTTACATTCCCACCAACAATGTAAAAGGTTCCAATTTCCTTGCCAACATTTGTTACTTTCTATGTTTTCTTTTTTTCAATGGCATTTCATTGTGGTTTTGATTTTCCTAATGACTAATGTATTGAGCATCTTTTCATGTGCTCCTTGGTTATTTTCTTTCTTCTTTTTTTTTAAATCCTCACTTGAGGATATTTTTATTCTATTTTAAAAGAGAGTAGAAGGAAGGGAGGAGGAGAGAGAAACATCAATGTGAGAGAAGCACATCGATTGGTTGCCTCCCGGATGTGCCATGACCCTGGGGATTGACTGTGCAACCCAGGTACGAGCAAGCCCTTGCCTGGGAATCAAATCTAAGACCCTTTGGTGGGTAGGCTGGTGCTCTAACCACTGAACACACCAGCCAGGGCATCATTTCTTTCTCTTTTTTTCTGAATAATCCATTTTGTGTATACACCTACTACATTTTATATATATTTATTCATCAGTTGGTGGACATTTGGGTCATTCTATTTGTTAGCTACTATGAATAAAACTGCTGTGCACATTTGTGTATAGATTTTTGTGTGGACATTATGGACAAATTATTTTTCAAAGTGGCTACATTATTTTAATACAAAGTATAAGGATTCCAGTTTCTCCATCTTTATAGCTGATGTTTGTCTTTTTTTTTGGTTTATCTTTTCTTATGGCCATCTAGTGAATGTGAAATGACTTTGGTTTGCATTTCTCTGATGACTAATAATGTTGAGTATTGTGCTTTTTGGCTAATTCATATATCTTTGGAGAAATGTCTATTCAAGTGCTTTACCCATTTAAAAATTGGATTATTTGTCTTTTATTATTGAGTTGTAAGAGGATTATTTTTAAAAATTTATCTTTATTGTTGAAAGTATTACAAATGTCCCTCTTTTTCTCCTCATTCACCTCCACCCTGAACCTCCCCACCCCTCCTCAGGAGACATTTATTTATTTATTTATACTAGAGGCCCAATGCAGGAAATTTGTGCAAGGGGCTCAGGCCCTCGCACCCCAGCTTCATTTGGCTGTCTGGTCTAATTAGCATATTATGCTTTTATCACTATGGATTGGATACAGTTTCTTATTTGCATCTTTCATTCTGTGGGTTGTTTTTTATGTTCTTGATGGTAATCATTTGCAGTACAAAAGCTTTTAATTTTGATGCAGGCCAGTTTTTTAATAACTTTTACTAACGTATTTTTAAAAATATATTTATTGATTTCAGAGAGGGAGAAAGAGAGAAATAGAAACATCAGTGATGAGAGAGAACCATCCATCGGCTGCCTCCTGCATGCCCCCATTGGGGATCAAACCCACAACTCAAGCATGTGCCCTTGGCCAGATCAAACCCAGGACCCCTCAATCCACAGGTGGACGCTCTATCCACTGAACCAAACTGGCCAGGGCATATTAAAATGTATATATATATTTTAAATATATATTTTATTGATTTTTTTACAGAGAGGAAGGGAGAGGGATAGAGAGCTAGAAACATCGATGAGAGAGAAACATCGACCAGCTGCCTCCTGCACACTCCCCACCTGGGAGGTGCTCACAACCAATGTACATGCCCTTGACTGGAATAGAACCTGGGACCCTTCAGTCCGCAGACTGACGCTCTATCCACTGCTGAGCCAAACTGGTTTCAGCACCGGCTAAAATATTTTTTAAAAAGAGCGCACTCACACTGGGAATTGAGCCCACAACATGTGCCCTTGATTGGAATCAAACCTGGGACTCTGCAGTCCACAGTCCAACACGCTAGCCACTGGACCAAACCAGCTAGGGCTTTATTGAAATATTAGAGGCCTGGTGCACGAAAGTCGTATATGGATAGAGTCCCTAGGCCTGCCTGGCTGGTGATCAGGGCCTTCCTTTGTTTTGCGCTGCCTTCTGGTGGTCAGCACACATCATAGCAAGCAATTGAACTCCTGGTGGAACTCCCAAGGGGACACTTTGCATATTAGCCTTTTATATATATAGGTTTTTAATTTTTTAAAATTTTGTTTATTAATCCTCACCTGAGGATATTTTCCCTAATGCTTTTCAGAGAGAGTGGACCGGAGGGAGGGTGGGGGAGAGAGAGAAAGAAAAACATCAATTTACCTGAGATCTTAGTTGAGACTCTTAGTTGTGTGGGCTGACGCAACCGGCACACAGGCCAACAGGGTAATTAGAGAGAAACATTGATATGAGAACAGAACAATCATTGGCTGCTTCCTTCATGCCCCTGACCCAGGATTGAGCCCAAAACCCCAGTCATGTGCCCTTACCTAGAATCAAACCCACAACTTTCCAATGCACAGGACAACTCCCAGCTGAGCTACACTGGCCAGGGTTCACTTTCCTTCTGATTGAGCCT